GGAATTCAAGAAGAGCTGTGACCTCCAAGCTCAGGAGTGAGAAGAAATGGATAATGTATGCTGGGAAACTCATTCTGGTGTGCTTGGAATGCATGCCTTGGGGAGATCCAGACAAAGACCAATGTGTGGGAAGTGGGCAGCTACTGTTTGGATGCTTAAGGCCCTCCTGGAGAGCAGCTGAGAAGACCTGCACAGGCTACATGTGTGGCCAGCAAGGAGTTCACCAGTGGAGTCCTGGTTGTCTTGCACCTGTGGGGTAGGTTTTGGTGTCCAGGCTTGGTAGTACCCACAGATGGCCCATGGGTGTGATGACCTCAGCTCTGCCTTGCATGTTTCTAAAGCACTGCCTCACCCTCAGCACCAGTGTTGCTACAATCCTGAGTTGTCTCACTGTGCAGTTGTCACTGCTGGTGGTTTTGAATAAAACTACAAGGAGAAATGTTGGTTTGCAGGCTGTTAATTATTTTCTTTAATGTCGAAGGCAAAGGGCTTTCTGGTCTGTTGCCTCCTTTGCAAGTCATTGTCATGCTAATGCCTAGGTATCACCACTGAAGAACTGTCATCAGTGGTTTCTTGCTTATTGATTTGGTTTTTACACTAAAGATCCCATTAATTGTGTAATCTTCTCTTGTTATATTAATAGAGCTGAGTTCAATTACTGCAACTTGATTTAAAGGAACAAAGTGCTGCTTCTAACATAATACAGTACAGTTATGTCATAGAGTCATAGAATGGTTTGGGTTGGAAGGGACCTTAAAGATCATCTACTTCCAACCCTCTGCCATGAGCAAGGATGCCAGTCACAAGATCAAGTTGGTCAGGGCCCCATCCAACCTGGCCTTGAACTCTTCCAGGGATGGGCCATCCACAAATAATCTGGGCATCCTGTTCCAGTGCTTTACCACCCTCTGAGTAAAGAATTTTTTCCTAACATCTAATCTAATCCAGTCCCAAAGAATCCATTTAATCTTCTTAATACAAAATACCTTTTTCTCATTCATTTTCTGTTGCTTTTCTAGTAAGTTTGTCTAATCTCAACTGAGGTATAACTCACTGGAAGCTTTAGTAAAAACCTGTGTCATTCATTTCATTGTTTTCAAGATTCATCTTGCTAGTAGTGTGCTGAAATATACTACCACTGTACAGTATTACAAGGGGCAGATATGAGAGGTATTGTGTATAGAAGTGATATGGCCTTTAACTTCTGGTTTGAATTGCATAATGGAATGCAAACTTGCTGGTGAATAATGCAAAGAAATTTTTAATTGCGGTAAGGGACATCTGTACATACTCTCAGTACCCAAATTAACTCAATTACAGTTTCTACTCTTGTAGAAATAATGCATTTATTTTAGAATGCAGTGATAATTAAATGGAAATTGCTAATGTTTCTGGGTAGCTGCTGGTAGAACAGCAGCACAAAATACTGAGCATCATGTGAAGGAAAATCCCCAAATGTGCATTTTTGTTACTTTTCTCATGTAAGTAGTATACTAAGTTCCAGTGGAAAATAATCAAAACATGCAACTATTTGGAAATGATTTTGGGGAATATTTTCATTGCTCTGTTTTAAAGAAAAATTAGAACAATCTATTTTAAAAAAATCTGACTTTCTGTCTCTATCCCCTCTCCAACCCTGCCAGAGCATTTCCCCGTTCCTGGGTAGGAAGCTACAGGTGCTGTTTTCACAAAACTTGGTCAAGACTATTTTTAATGAAAACACTTTTATTTTTCTTGCCATCATTCAACGTGAAGTCAGTTTGTTGGCTTGATCAGTTTCCGACTGGGCAAATATCCACAGCTTTTTTTGAAATAGTTCACATCTGATACCAGCCCTGAGGCCATTCTTTTGGAGGCTCCCCAGAGGGGATGTGAGCTCTCGCTGGGATGCAGTGTAAACCACGGCTGCCTCCAGAGCCTAGTCCTTGAGGTTTTCTTCTTCATTGTTCAGATGGAGCAGCCTGAGAAGACCACAAGCCCCATACATGACACTCACTGTGCCCTTGCTGTCAGGCAAATAATAGTTTCTGTTGTGGTTTACGGGTACTTTATCAGCAGGTGGGAAAGTTATATGCCTCCTAAATCCAATTTACATCCCAAATACCATTGATATTTGCCCAGCTAGATCAGGTGGAAAGATTTCCTTTATGGCTGGGAATATCTATCAGATGGCATCTGTAGTATGCAGTGCTAAATATTTCTACTGATAGGAATTTTAGATCTTGTTATAATTGGTATCCTAGTGGTGCAAGTCTAAATGCTGTCAGCCACGATATCCATATTTCTCATGATAAAGCATATATAAATGAGCAGACTGGCTGCTCACATACTGTCAAAAGCTTGCTTTTGCATATTTGCCAAATATTGCATATATACCTTATGGTTTAACTTAAGGTGCTTCGGTAATTTGTATCTGCAGTTCAAGTGTGAAACTTTTTTGGGGCCACACACATAGGTGAGGAAGTTACTCAAGTCAAGGGAAAGGACAAATCAAATGGTAAGGTATAAAGCACTATTTGACCCACCTTCAGCAATGTTTTAAGCACATGTTGTGTAAGTGCTTGTGTTTCTTCAGTCATTGCTGACTTGACCCTTTGAAAATGTCTCTCCCTGTTTCAGTTTGCTTTTCTAGGAAGGGGTAATATCCAACAATTAGTGCTGAAGCATCAGCCAGTTGAGCAGTACTGCAGTTCCCCAGCAATGTGGTTTATGGTTGTATGTGGTGGTACAAGGGAAGGTGTACCCCCAATCCCTTTATGATTGCAAATAGCATGCATGATTTTTGAAAGAAGTTTGTGACTGAAGTGTAAAAGCTTATGACAGGACCTATTTAATTTTATTGTGCAAAAATAGAGTAGATGGTCCAATGGTAAAGTAAAAACTGTGGTTATCAGTATCTGGACTGTGATACTAATTTTTTTCTTGAGTTTAGAGGCATACACCACTTGTGGTTTGTGCGGTGAGGTTGTCTTTGGTTTTTTTCTGTTGTGCCATGCAAGGCAGATCTTGTTTTACTTGGCATGGCAAAATTCACCTGATAATAATTCAGTTCTGTCAAACAATTTGAGTTTTACTAAAAGACACAGGAGCAAGCAGGTTATAATCTTCAGAAATCATGCCTTAGTCATTCTTCTGACTCTTATGTAACTTCAAAGGTAGCTTTGTATGTAGGCTGTGAAACACTCAGCCCAGTACCAGCCATAACAAACACAAAACTCTATTAGTACATTCACTTCATATTTTTGCCAAGATCCATCAAAACACTTGGATAACTTTTGGTACATATTTCATAACCTCTTTTAGACATTTCCCTGGATGTTATCTTATGAGCATTGCCAGATTTTATTACAGTCAAAAAGGTATTTCACCACTTGTAAGTCAACATCAAGGATAAATGTCTTAGTATCTGAGCAACTAGGATATGGCAAAATAGAAGAGAAGTGTGAGCTCTCCTACATAGGGTTCTGGTGAGTATTTGTTACTATTGATCATAAGGCCTATGTTAATCAATATAAGAGAGGGAGTGAGATGATAATTACTGAATGAGTTGAACATTCAGTATATTAGTTTCTCAGAATTTGATGAGAGAAATGAAAAAGTGATTTTTCTGTTACCAGCAGTGAAGTATGATTATTTCTGTGGCCAACTGGAAGGCAGAAAGCAGCCATATATGGACTGAAAATCTCCAAAGAATGTGCAATAAATAGATAGTTTGGAAGAAGGTTCCACGGGATCTCAAGTACACAGAAGTCTGGGAGGGAGAGGATTCTATTTCCAGCTCAAGAAATAGTTAGCACCACAGGACTTGTTTATTTAGTGTGGAGAGAAGACTGTGAGGAGTAAGTTCTTGAAATAATAAATTCCCTCTTCATGAAATAGCATAGTAGTAGAATTGTGGTCACAGGTTAAAGACATTAACTTTATATTGGGAACTGGTGTCTGTTTTGGTAGGACTTGGTTTGGGGAAAGGATGTTTCCCATTTGGACTCTTGTTCTGACTGACCCAGGTGCGTGGTTTGCATGGCACAAGCAGCCTGTGCCAACCCCTAGTTTGGCTGGTAGATGTAGGCACAGTACTACTGACGCTTTGTGAGAGCTATTGCAATTGTATCTGCCTCATGCTGGGTTGGTAGGCAGCAAGAACATACCTGTAGGTTGCCCATTTTGCCCCCTTCCCATGGCCTTAGAAATCTGGGGCTTTGTGGAGTGAAACATCCAACCCTTCTCTGAAACCTGAAAATGTTACTGAATGGCTGTAATCCACATGTGTTTTGCTTGCTACAGCTGGAAGGGAAGACAGCAGTCTGACCAGAGCAAGGACAGTAGTCAGGCAGCTTAGGGCATTGGCTTTTGGAAGGTGTGCAGCAGTAGCACAGTTGAGAGTTCCCTGGGGACTAGATTTGGGAATATTATGAAATCTGGGTGAGGATCATATTTTTCCAGTACATGTGCTGTCAGACCATAGGGAAGTCTAAATACAGACTGGACATATGTTCCCTGAACAGCACTGACTTCCCTGAGAGTGTTTCAGGTAAAGGGATAGGAAATGAAGTCCCTCCTACTTGCCTGTCTTGGTACTCTGTGTGATCATAGTGAACAGATCATTGACCTTTTATGGCACAGTCCCTCTGAGGATAATCCGGATTTCTTTTCCTGTCACCTTCTAGGAACTGTACCCAAAACAGTAACAAATGGTAAGGGAGAACTGCCATTTTCATGGGTCTTGAAGAGCTTTAAACCAGCCCTGATGTCTTCCTGTTGTAGCAGTTGTAATTGCTAAAAGAATTATTTATATTTGCCTTATTACATTTGTTGTAACAGTCGTGGGTGGGTAGAGAATAAGGATATCCAACAGGAAGTAAGAAAATTAATGGGAGTTCACAATTTCCTCTGCACATTTTTTTTCTTCTTAAATTACAATTTTTAGGCAAAAGTAATCAAAAGTGTTTGTGTAGGAATATCTGTGTTAAGAACCTCTAAAATATATTTTTCAAATTTAGATCATCGACAAGGAGATTAATCCCTTTGTGGACAAGTGGGAAGAAGAAGGACAGTTCCCAGCACATAAAGTGTTTAAAACCCTAGGACAAGCTGGATTCCTTGGTGTGGATAAGCCAACAGGTAGGAGAGTGCATAACTCTGGACTATTGATGCTGATGGTGATAGACCGAATACATTATTTCAATTTGCTTTTGCCTCAGGTCAAAACATGGATTGGAATTCAGAGCAAAGTTTACTTATATTCCTCAGTTAGATTCATGCTGGTTGCCAACTCTGCAAACAGAGAAAATAACATTGCTGAGTGCTGAAGTTGATAGTCTCATAAATACAAATGTTAAATCCTGTGTGACTGTTATTTTAAAGTCAGGAAAAGAAAATCGCTTCAATTTTCAACATAAAATCTGTATAATAACTTTCCTTCTGGGTCTGGACACATATGGAACTATCTCAGTCTTCATTATAGAAACCACAGTTTAAAGGCTTTGGAAGTGTTCTAAGATTTGCCCTATTATGCTTCCTGTACTTTCAACCTCTCCATCATTATAATGTGTTCTGTCTCACCATTCAAAGGATGAGGTTAGTGTGGGGTTTAGGCCATTATCCCCTAGATTGTCTTTAAAATGCACTATTCCAGCCCACAGAAGCCTGAACAGAACAAGAAGCTGATGACACAGCAAGGACAGAGCAAATTTCATGTGTATGTGTATATATATAGGTGATGCAAAAAGTCAAGAAGCCCAGAGAAATAGGAACTATTTCTGCTCTTCAGTGAAAATACATATTCTGCTAGTTTTTTTTCTTAATGTGATGCAATATATATACTTATTTTCTTTTCAAATGCTACTGTTACATGTTCACGTCAGAATTCTCAGGAGTTCTTCCCCCGTTTTCTTTCTCGTGTTTACAAAGTCTAAAACAAAAGCAAGTTTGCATAGGAAAACCTTAAGCTGTTGTGGTGAATTGAGAGCAGCCCAAAGTGAAATGTTTGAACAGTTAACCTGAAGATAATTGTCTATATGGAGCAGCTCACACTACATCAGCAATGCCACATCACATCATTGCTTTGCTAAGAGACAGGGTTATGTGGAACAAATTATGTCTTTTTACCATTTACTTTCAGAGGAAATTTTTCCTCTTGAAATGAACTTTCATATTCTGAATTGAGAGCAGCCCAAAGTGAAATGTTTGAACAGTTAACCTGAAGATAATTGTCTATATGGAGCAGCTCACACTACATCAGCAATGCCACATCACATCATTGCTTTGCTAAGAGACAGGGTTATGTGGAACAAATTATGTCTTTTTACCATTTACTTTCAGAGGAAATTTTTCCTCTTGAAATGAACTTTCATATTCTTATACAATGTGGAAG